GTTAAACATTGAATTTTTCTTTTCATATTTGTTATTCAATAAAAGTCAACAAAAGAATCGAAAAAATATCGATATGTAAAAATCAATGAAAAAAAAATTTTCAGAGAAAGTTCAATAGTGATGGATACAATGTTATTTTTTTTTTTAAAGATGATGTGATGATTTCACATGCACCAAAAATCAGTGTAAGAAATGAGCCTGAAATTCTTTGTGGCTTATCTGGAAATCGAAAAAAAAATTTTCTTATTTCCATCATCCAAGACCCAGTGTGTTTTGTGGTTATTATTTATGGTTATTTTTTTGACCACAAAATAAAAGACATTATACAATAAGTGACATATACAGTAAGTGAATGAAAAATGAATAAAACAAATCAGTCAACTGAAACCAAGAATTGAAAAATAAAGCAGTGGAAAAAAAACCTATAGTGGACAACAATCATCGATAGAATTCATTCATCATATTCAATTTGACTATTGGCTATAGTAAGCTTTTAACAACAACAACAACAAAAACCAATGATTGTTGATTGTTGAATTTGACTTTAAATTGAATTGAATTTGAATTGTTAATTTTCTTCTTTTTGCTTCGTAAAAATCCAAAAATCATTTATCATTTCAAATGATTGATTGAAAAAAAAATAGGAAAGTGATGAATGAAATATGCAGAATGTAAAAAAAAACATATTGTAATGTTGAATTGATATTGAATATTTTTTTTTGAAAATTTTTTAAACATTTTTTCCTGTTTCATTCATTATTTGCACAGAAAAAAAGTCAGAAGAAAAAATAAACAATAAAAGAGATATGGAATATGTAAATAAAAAAACATTGTGTGCGTGTCGTAAGTTTGTCACAAATATTCTGTTTTTTTCCCCCGAAAAAAAAATCCAGAACAAAGTCAAAAATGTAAATTCTGTAGATTCTGTGTATTTGTGTTGTACAATACAGAATGTACACGCAGAATATAATGATTGAAAATGGTTTGGAAAAAAATGAAGCAAACAACGAATGATAATGATCATGACTAAATGAAAATCATCATCATCACCATCATCATGATTATGATGATGATGTTGATGTTGATGTCAAAATTGATCAATCAATATTGGCCCACTATTATTTCTATCCATCTCACACGCAAAAGAAATAAAATAAAAAAAATAAACGCTAAAGAGACATTGGGAATTCAACATTTGATGAGAGAGAATGATCATCGTTATTTTCAATGTGAAATGAATAAAATTGAGGAGAAAGAGAGAAGGGGGAAAAAATATAAAATGCAAGAATATTCTGTGCNCTCTCCGTGTTTGGTTTCAAGAGAATTTTCTTTTTCTTCTATTTTTTTGTGAATAAAGTTATTTAGCCAACCAAGAGAGCAAAAAATGTTGAATAATCTCATTTTCTTCATCTGGTTTTGTTCAGATTTTCTTTTTCTTTATTATTTCATTTTCTCATTTTTTTCTCTTGCTTATTATTCTTTATGAAGAAAGTGAAAAGTGTGCTTTTTCTAGTGAAAAAATTTTTCTTCTTTTTTTTGAAAATTTTGCAATTTTCTTTATCTTGTTTTACTTTGGAAAATTTTTTCCGACCATTCATTTTGGTCTTTATCTTTTTTTTTCTGGTTCACATCCACATAATGTGTGTATGTGTTTGGTGGGTTAACTTTTTTTTAAGGAAAAATGTTTCTTCATTAAATTTAAAAAGAGGGAGGGCAGGAAATGGTTAAACATTGAATTTTTCTTTTCATATTTATTATTCACAAGAAAAATCAACAAAAGAATCGAAAAAATATCGATATGTAAAAATCAATGAAAAAAATTTTCTGGGAAAGTTCAATAGTGAATGATGATGGATACAATGTTTTAAATAAAAAGATGATGTGATGATTTCACATGCAAAATCAATGTAAGAAATGAGCCAATTCTTTGTGGCTTATCTTGAACCACAAATTTTCCGTTTTTTTCTTATTTTTGCATCAGAATCAGAAACAACGGTGTGGTTATTTTGACAACCACCACAAAAAGACATGCAATGTGACATACAGTAAGTGAATGAAAAGTGAATAAAACAAATCAGTCAACTGAATCCAGAATTTGAAAAATAACTTTAGTGGACAACAACTACTACAACAAAAAATCATTGATGGAATTCATTCATCATATTCAATTTGACTATTGGCTAGTAAGCTTTTAACAACAACAACCAAAATAAATGTGAAAATAATGGCATGATGATGTTGGCCTGTCATTTGAACAACAACAACAAAAACCAATGATTGTTGATTGTTGAATTTGACTTTAAATAAATTGAATTTGAATTGTTAATTTTCTTCTTTTTTTCTTCGTAAAAATGAAAAAATCATTTATCATTTCAAATGATTGATTGAAATAAAAAAGGAAAGTGATGAATGAAATATGCAGAATGAAAAAAAAACATATTGTAATGTCGTTGATATTGAATATTTTTTGAAAATTTTTAAACATTTTTTCCTGTTTCATTCATTGTTTGCCCAGAAAAAAAGTCAGAAGAAAAAAAAAACAATAAAAGAGATATGGAATATGTAAATAAAAAACATTGTGTGCGTGTCGTAAGTTTGTCACAAATATTCTGTTTCTGTTTTTTTCCCTTGAAAAAAATCCAGAACAAAGTCAAAAAAAAATGTAAATTCTGTATTCTGTAGATTCTGTGTGTTTGTGTTGTACAATACAGAATGTATACACACAGAATATAATGATGATAATGGTTGGAAAAATGATTATGATGATGATGATGTTGATGTCAAAATTGATCAATCAATATTGGCCCACTATTATTTCTATCCATCTCACACGCAAAAGAAATAAAAAAAATAAACGCTAAAGAGACATTGGGAATTCAATATTTGATGAGAGAGAATAATCATCGTTATTTTCAATGTGAAATGAATAAAATTGAAGAGAGAGAGAGAAGGGGAAAAAAATATAAAATGCAAGAATATTCTGTGCTAAAAAAAAATCAAACTAAATAAAAACACAGAATATATCTATATATACGATTCTGATGATGATGATGATGATTATTCTGGAATGTTGTGTGTTTGTGTGTGTGTGTGTGTGATGTAGATCTATCAATTGCCAGAATTTATTCTGATGATGATTTTGTCGGTTGTTGTTGTTGTTGTCGGTTACTGGTTGGTTGTTTGGTCGAAAATAAAAAAAATCGATGCGTTTTTTTTCTCTCCCATCATTCCTTTCTCTTTCTTTCTGCTTAGGCGTAACATTGGTTGGTGATGATTGTTTTGGTTGATGGTGGTGGTGGATGAATATTCTGGCTGGGGGGAGGAAAAACAAGAATCGCGTTCCAAAGATTCACATTGATGGAACATTTACCCAAAAAAAAACTATGGCTTCAGTCAACGACTTTTTCTCTCTTTCCCTTCTTTCTGGTTCTTGTTTCTCGGTCGGTTATTATGAATGAATGAATGGTGACGACGAATCGACATTATAAATATTTTATTGATTTTGGTTGCTGTTTTTTTTTCATTCTCTCTCTCTCTCCTTTTTTTTTGAAATTCTGTATTCAATACCATGCCTATGGTTTGTGTTTACTGCTGCTGCTGCTATGCAGTGTTAATTCTGTTCATTGATTTTTGTCGTTACTAATATTTTCATCGGTTGGCCATCATCATCATCATGCATGATTCCATTTTGTTTATTTATATCTCGTCAACAGAATAAAAAGAAAAATTTTTCTTGGTTCACAGTTTTTCTGTTCTATTCTCTTCTGTTATCAGTTTCTGTTCAATTATGCCAATGATGCATCATCATCATTGTGATGATGATCTTTCATTGTCAGATTCTGTGGAGTTCGAAGTGTGTAAGGTGATGAAAAATCATTCCAGGAAAAAAAAACTACCCACCAACTGTGGTGGTGAACAAACATCATTCAAACAAACAAACGAAAAATCATTGGTTGTTTGTTTTTCGTTGGAAAAACAAAAAAAAACGAAACGAAAATGAAAATTAATGATGTTATCGTTGTGCAGAGAAAAAAAATCCATCATTCATTCATCCATATAATGATTGGATTTCAAAAATCATTTTGATAATGATATTTGTGGGTGGTATTGGTCTTGATGGTTGATGGGGGCAAACCTGATAAAACCGGTATTTGAACCAGAATCTTTTACCTTTCAAAAAAAAAACATATCACGTGATTATGACATATCACATAGATGATTATCATTTTGAATTGATCATTTAAACTATGGAATTCCTTCACGAAGAATATTCTTTCCTTCCATCAAGAATTTTTCTCTCTTTCTCTCTTCATTATTTCAATGTTTGAAATCAATCATCAATTCAATAATTAGTATCCAATAGGAATTTATACAGAATGTTAAGCCAAAAACCAAATGAAGAAAAAAAAACTTTTTGTTGTTTATTATCCCATATCGTAAATAATAATAATAATAATAATGATAAAAACCAGTAGCTAATCATCAATGATGAACCACAAACGAAAAACTTTATTTGTGGTTCAATGATTACAATAAAAACAACAACAACAACTTATCTTGATAAAAATGATGATAGAAATCAATTAGCCTAAAAGGAAAATTTGTTTTGCAATTGCTGTTTTATAAAGGTTTACCAAAACAAGATATCATAAATGAAATGAATGACAGTCATATATACAGAGCAAGTTATTCGACTAACTAACTAACCAAACCGATCTAACAAATAAAATAATTGAACATCAATGAAATGGTAAATGATCATCATGTTTTAAGTGTAAATGATCAGAAAAAGATCAGAAAAACTTTCTTTCTTTTAACAAATAACGTTATTTGGCAAAGTTGTAGTTAGTAATAGTAGTTTTTTTCATCGAAAAACAACAATATAAAAAACCGGAAATTTTCCCGTAAACATTTGGTGATGATGATAATGAATGATTTTGTTTTCAGGAATTTTTTCTTTTTTGTAAAACCCAAAACAAATACCAAACAACAAAACTTACCAATAATCCACATTGTTTTTACATGATAACATTTTATCATTATTATGAATAAAATTATTAATAATATTTGATTCTGTAATGATAATGATTTTTGTAACTTTGACTTTGACTTTGATGATGATGATGATAATCTTGATGGTGGTGATCGTGATGATGATGACGATGACGACGACGACGACGATAATAACAATGCAAAACAAGACGACGACATTAACATTTGAAGATTACCATTTATATATGTGATTCTGTTTTTTCGTGGCTTTTTTGTTGTTTTTGGATTTGTCGTTGTTTGTAATCGATTAGATAATGTCTTTAATCTGTCTGTCTGTCTGTCTGACTATCTATTTAAACACTGATATAGAAATAGAAACAAAATTGTCGACAATGTTGATCATGATCATCATCATAGACTAAGTGAGGAATTCCCGATAAGATAAAGAATACCATGTTAGTGATAACATGGGTGATTTGGGAGGATTTTTTTCTCGGTTGTCCATCTCTAGTCAATCACATTAACTCTTTCGGAAATTTGTTTTGCAGTTCACTTTAGTTTAGTTTAACCGATTGATTCTCGAATCTTTGTTTTTTTGGTTTCCCAAAAAAATGAAAATTGAATCGGATGTTTGCCATCGAGATTGAGAGAGGGAGAGAGAAATGAAAATCAAACGAACACAAACATCAACAAAAAAAAAAATTTCATTCACTTTATCACAATAAATTAATGAGAAAGTTTTTTTCTTCTCAATTCTCTCTATTTCTGATTTTTTTTAACATATCCGATTTAAACTATTTCCACCCAAATAACATCATGATGATGATGATAGAAGCAGCAAACAAGATAAGCAACCCATATAATATGTGTCTTATATGAGATTTTTGCTGTTGTTGTTGTTGTTTTGTTGTTTCCAAGTGATATATCTTCAGAGAGATTCTTGCTTGCTTGTTCTCGTTGTTGTTTTACATCAAAATTTCTTTGAAAACAACCCGAAAAAAATAAATGACCACGAGCAATAAAATTGAATCATTTGATGATGATACTGATGATGATAATGAATTGTATCATCATCATCATCGTCGTCGTCGTCGTCGTCGTTGTTGATAATGATGGCTGAATTTTATTTTTATTTTTTTCTTTTGAAAAAAATAACGGGGGATGAAAGTAAACTTTTTAACTTGGGAAAAATCAAATCTAAATGAATCTGGATTTTTTTTCTGGATTTTCTTCTTCTTCTTCTTCTTCTTCGGGTTTTTTCTTGGCAAAAAGGCCAGTATTTGAAGAAATAAATAACGATGAAAAGAAGAAATTTCTCGTTGCTGGCTGCTTTCAGTTCACAGTAATGTATATGATAGATTGAATGAAATTTAATGATAATGGATAAGGATATTTCACTCTCTCTCTTTCTCTCTCTCGCTTTTCACCAGAGAGAGAGATAACGAATAGTGTTTGGCTTATGTGTCAACCCAAATATGATGATGATGATAGTGATGATTATGATGATGATCAAGATGATGATGATAATAATCAAAACGATGGACAAAACATATCGTTATTGGACACAAACAGATCTCTGGAGAGTCATAGTCAGGATTTTTTTTCCTTCATTCAAAATGAATGAATGAATGAATGATTACCAAAGATTTTAAGTGAAAGTGAAAAATTCAATAATTTTGTTATTACACCAACAAACAAACAAACAAATTGGATGGTCAAAAAGTGATGATGATGATAACAGAATCCAAAAAAACGCCCATGGATCATGATGATTATTATTATCGTTGGACACCGAATCATTTTTGGATAATTTTTCTATTTTTTGAGTGGGAAGCAACACTGCAAAAATGTGGTCAAATAATAATGCCCAATGGCCATCATCATAATTATGAAATTTGATTTTTTTCGGATCATGGTCATCAATGATCAACAACAAATATTGGTCAAAAATCAATCATAGTTCATAGTGGTTGTTTTGGTTGACCGACAATTCAAAACTGATTCATAATAACAACAACAACAAACAACAATAATAAAGAATGGCGCCCATCATAGACCAAGATCAAATACAAATGAATTGAATTGAAACGAAGAAAAAATGAAAAAGAGAAAAAAATCCAAAATACCAGATTCAGTTATAATAACGAACATGCGATATACACACTATCATCATTATCAAATATTTGAAATGTAAGAATATGATGTGAGCATGTCCAAATTATCTTTTTCTCTGTCTCTCTCTATATATTTGAATGGAAAAATTCTTTTTGGATCGAAAAAAAAGATTCACATTTGTATCCTATGCCTTATCAAACACATTAAGTCTATATTGATGATGATCATCATCATCACACGATTTTGCAATGGAATTTCTATTTAAACCCCCTTGGTTTATCCATCCACTCGTCATCCACCCACCACCATTCACCACCCAACACACTTAACTGAAAATCAAAGATCAATTTCATCAATTTGTACCAACACACACACACAGACACAAAACATTGTTCAATGAATGGATGGATAGATTGAAATGTAATCAATGAGATGGATTCAAAAATGATCAAGTTTTTTCTTTGCATTTCAAACGATGATGATGATGATGATGATGATGATGATGATAAAATTCAAATTCATTCATTCTTCTTAATTAACCTACTATTCCTACTAATATTAAATGGGTAGAAATAGCTTCTTTAGCATCTCTTATTGGTTTTTTTTCTTCTTAGTCGTCTCGTACACGTAGGCAAAGTAAAGAAGAAAAATTCTTTGGGTTAAAGAAGAAAAAAAACTTTTCTTTTTTTTCTACGTTTGAAACATTTGCATATTTGTTTCATGTATTTTTTCATGAGAATCGGATCGATTTAAAGGGAAAAAAACGAAATGAAATTGTCGCATATCCAAAATCACGAATATCTTCAAAGTACCAAACCTTTCCTTATCTTTCTTATCCTAAAAAATTCAGGCAGCAGCAGAAAAAAAATCAAATTATAATAGTTTTTTCGTTATCGTTTGCAAATTTCTTTCTTGTCTTTCTTCTTCTTGGTTTTCCGATGGAAATTGATTGAATTTTTTTCATTCAAATTAAAAAATTTTGATTTTTTTTCAAATAAAACGAAGAATATAAAGATGGCAGTCCAATAAAGTCAGTTTTGTATTAATCATCATCATTATTGCCTCGCTTTTTTTTTGCTCATTTTGGATTTTTTTTTTGCAAAGTTTTGGTTACAAGTTTTTTTCGCATTTTTGCTTCTTGCTAGAAATTCGATCATCATTATTATGATTGCCTTGAAATTGTTAGTGGTTTTTTTCCATTTCGATTTTCATTTTATCGGTTTCAATTTTACATTTGGTTGGTTTATAAATTTTTGATAAAGCTCAATAGCAACAACAGCAGCGAAAAACAAATCTATCGATTGTTGTTGTTGTTGTTCTCATTTTGAATCATGTTGATTTTGATCGATAAATTGTTCTCCACCCTTCATGATGTCCATTATTCCTTGTAAAAAACATCAATTCTGGCTCATTTCGGATATAAATACCTGTCTTTGTTTCAACATTGTCATTCAAACAAATTGCTGATTTTCAAACCAATTCTTTGATTAAAATCAATTTTTAAACCTGCTGCTGCCATCTGCATTTGCAATTATTATCGCTTTTTCTTGAAAAAAAGTTCACATTCTTAAACAATAGATGGCGTTTGTAATGCCAGAATTTAAATTTTTTTTTCGTTTGAAATAAAATTCATTACAAAAAACAATCAACAACGTCTTTAAGAAGAATCTAAAAGAATCTATCTAAAGAAAAAACTGTTAACTGATTTCTGATCACCAACCAATCAGCCAATCAGTCGATCAATTGAAAACAAATTACCCAATCATTTTCATTGATGATAATCATCATCATCATTTCCAAGTAATCATCATCAATAAAAAAAGAAAGTCTTTTTCACGAAAAGCTATTACGGTAAAGTTTTTACCGTTATAAAACAAAAATTTCACATTTAGCTAATGGCTACCATCATCATCAAGATGATGACGATGGTTAATATGTTTCAATTCAACCATATTAATTTCCAAAAAAAACCAAACCGAAAATGAAATGAAATGACAAGAATCGATTATAGTGGACACATAATCATCATTATGAAATGGAAAAAAATGTATCAATATCCTAATGATTCATTCATTTATTTTTGGCTTTTTTTCAAGCAAAAATATATGATGATCACCACAAAAAACCAAAAAGTACAGAGGTTGAACACACACACGAAATTAGTATAGTAAAAAAATTAGTGATTATAAATGATAACAATGATAATTAATGTCATCAAATGTTGGAATAATAATAATAATTATGAAAGAGAAAAAAGAAAAAATCAAATCGATTATGATTTGCCTGAAAACACAAAAAAATGATATCGATATAAAAATCGATATTGAATTCAAATGATAGAAACTTTCTCTTTCTCTCTTTCCTTTTTTCAAATCAGACACCCATTCAACCATTTACCCACCCGGGAAATTTACCAGCAAAACGGAATAAAGAAAATTTTAATGATATTTCTGGTGGTAACAACAATAGAAGAATTTTTTTTTTGAATTTTCCTGGAAAATTTCTCAAAAAAAGAACATCAATTTCTAGGAAAAAGAATTTTAATTTAAAAAAAAAATTAATAAAAATAAGTACCAATGTGATGATTTATCTATAAATTTATGCTGTTGTCGTTGGTCATTCATAAAAATAAATAAATTTTGATCAAAAAGAAAAAAAAATTCCGGCAACTATTCCCCATATAAATATCCATTTAGGTAAAGAAAAAAGATCTCGTTTTTCGATCATCATAATATGATTTCTTCATATAGCCTTGGTCATGTAGTGAAAAAAAAAGAATATTCTACTATCACACACACACAAATCATGAGCTAAATTCGTGATTTGAATTTATTAACATTATATATGACGATGATAATGATTCCACAATATGTTTGTCTGTGTGTGTATGTGTGTGTCCAGGTCGGTCAAATCATTCATTAATTCATTAATTCACTCGATTTCTATCGTTTAGTCCAGTCAAGTCAGTCAGTCAGTCAAGTCAGTTTAGTCCATTCAATTCATATTAAAAATAGACATTGTATTGTAGACATTCTTTTATCATCATGATCATCATCGAAAATTTTCAAATCACAAATTGTGTGTATAAGTAATGAAAAAAATAGAAAAAAAATGACAAAATTATAATAATAATGGATTTATAATAAACTAAACTAAATGAAAAGAAGAAAAACTTTATTTATTTTTTCCATTTTTTCTTCACCTTTTTCATTTCTTTTTTCA